CATACATAGATAATTTTATCATTTCTAAAAAAAATATTCATCACATTAAAAATCTTATTCTAACTCATTTGTATTTTTTGTCCAATTAATATTTATGTTATTCGTAAATATTTTGAATTTTGTAAATATTATTTATATATTTATAGAAATTGACAAAAATAAATAAGTCACATATAGTTAAACATTATATATAATTCGGTAAAATAGGTGTAATTCAAAAAATTATAGAAATTGACGAAGGTTATATATCTTACTAATTAAATATAAAAAAATTAAAAATATAATTTCATAATTGTTATGTTAATAATGATTTTTTTATTAATATTTAATATTTAGGAAGCCATTCTAAGGATGAACAAAACCGGGCCATTTTTTTTTTTTTACTATATTTCGGATACTTTTTGAAAGGGGTGTTTTTCGGATTGATTTCATAAATACAATAAAGTGTCCTTTCAAATGACGCTTTATAAGGACCGTTGGATTGAGCTTGGATCAACGGCCATCTCTCCAATTTTGTCTTCTTAATCGGACGGTCCGAGATTGATCAGACGATCGAACGACCCTTAAAAGGCGTCATTTTGAACGACGCGCTTTGACCTGTCAGATGGGTTGAACGCGTCAATTCAAATTGCGCCTTTTAAGGGCCGTTCGATCCTTCTCAATCCAACTGCTGTAATTTTGGCCGAAAATATATATATTTATCCCTCAACACATTTTCACAATTCACTTTTGCTCCCTTCTTTCCAACCGTAAGATTTTTTGTCTCCTTTTTTTTTTGTTAATTATTATTGTTTTAATTTGAATTTTGCTAATTTATATTTTAATTGATATAGGTAATTTTAATTAATTCCAGCAGGATACTTGTTGAGGTAAATTTTTCACTCTTTCAATTATTATTATAGTTAAATAGAATTCTAATTATTAATATTATTTTGTTAAATTTTTATTAATGGTGGATTAATGGAATTTTTTATCTAGTAAATTATCAATTATTTGGAGATAAATTATTTTTTGTAATTTAATTATTAATATTATCTTGTTTTGTTTCTGTTGATGGCAGAGACATGCCACGGGATAGCTATCGTTTGTATCTACCGACTCTCAGAACATGTCTTAATGTCTTGGAGTCTCGACACGGACCTTCAGATATTCCTCAGTCTGAGATGCCTTATACTCAGACTAAACCTCAGACTCAGACTCAAATATTACTGTCTCAAATGCCTCAGTCACAGACTCAGATGCACGACGGTGAGGCAGAAATTTTTTCTCATGCATATTATCCGGCATTCGATAATTATACAGATTCTAGATCATACGGACATTCATCCGGTATGTTTAGTACCTTTAATTTTATTTTGAATACTATCTATAACTGTGAGTATAATTATAATCCCGTTGATGCAGATATGTACACCCCATACCACTACTATAATCCGAATATGAATTCGGAAGACCCAATTCATACGCATCAGTTTACGTCTACATCACGACTGGTAGATCGTCAGATGACACCTATTCCTTATTCTCAATCCGCAGATTCATCGAGTGATAGTGAAAATGATGAGGATGAACATTTTGGTAGAGGGCACATGACTAGAAGGCCCCCGAGATGTGGCACCGGAGCTCACCGCCATTGATGATATTATTATTGTAGTTTATGTTGGTTAATTATTAAAACTCTTTAGGATTTTAGTTATTCAATAAAAACAAATTAAATAAACTAAAGGATTTGGAGAGAAAAAATACTAATAATTAGGTATTTTATTATTTTTATTTAATAAAATATATAATTTTAAAAAAATAATATATATAATTGACAAAATAGTTCTTTATTTATAACCTATGCAAAAAAGTTCTTCATTTGACAAAAAAAATAATATAATTGACAAAATAGTTCTCTATTTATAATTTATGCAAAATATATATATATATATATATATATATATATATATATATATATATATATATATATAATTGATAAAATAGTTCTTTATTTCATAATTATTTTGTTAGGTTAATTAATTAACTCTGTATTATTTTATAGTGAATTATAAAATAAATTACATAAATAAATGAAGGAAAAAATTTAAATTACAACATATAATTAAATTAAAATTAAAGTTCAATTAAGTATTACAATTTAACAATAAAAATAATTAAGTAAAAAAAAAACCAGCTCAAATTCAACCGTTGATATAAACACAATCCGACGGCTCTTAAACGACGTCACTATGAATGACGTTTTAATCCTGTGTGGCAGGTCAAAGCGCGTCGTTCAAAACGACGCCTTTTAAGGGTCGTTCGATCGTCTGAACAATCTCGGACCGTCCGATTAAGAAGACAAAATTGGAGAGATGGCCGTTGATCCAAGCTCAACCAACGGTCCTTATAAAGCGTCATTTAAAATGACAATTTATTGTATTTCTGAAATCAATCCCAAAACCACCCCAATTTCCAAAAAAAAAAAACCCCGAAATATAGTAGAAAAAAATGTCCCGAACAAAACTAGTCATTGGAGCATTTTGAAATTTGGAGAGTACTTAAGTGGGGTCCATAGTTTAGAGCGATCTAAAAATGTGTAGGTGGCATGTGGGGTCCACAATTTTGGGAGGGATTTTGGGGAGTACCAGTGTGGATGCTCTTAGCAACGTAGAAATTATACCATTTATCTTATTAATAAAAGTAAGGTTGCTATTGCTAAATGCTATAAAAAATTTCCTGCTCATTTGATAATTATAAATTATAATTGTCATTTATTTAATTAATTAATTTTATTTTTTTATTATATTTATTATAATCAAATTTAATAAACCTGTTAAGTATCTAGACTTTATGGCCACAAATTTACGTATCTTTTCTCATTGAAATTGTCATTTTACTTAATATTAATTTGATGGAAAAATTATTTAATTGTTTAGACAGACATTCGGGTCTTATCTTATTAATAAAAATAATCTTTTCCCACTAAAACTATCATTTTACTTAATATTAATTTGATGGGAAAATTATTTAATTGTTTAGAAAAACATTTGGTTCTTATCTTATTAATAAAAGTAAAGTTGTTCTTTTATTAATAAAGGTAAGGTTGCTCCTGCTAAATCCTATGAAATGTTTCCTGCTCATTTGATAGTTATAAATTATAATTGTCGTTTATTTAATTAATTAATTCTATTGTTTTAATATATAATAAAGTTTAATAAATTCGTTAAGTATCCAGACTTTTTTCGCCCCAAAATTACATATCTTTTCCCACCAAAATTGTCATTTTTACTTAATATTAATTAGATGAAAAATTATTTAATTGTTTAGAAAAATATGTGGTTTTTATCTTATAAATAAAAGTAAAGTTGCTCTTGATAAATTCTTGAGATTTAATGGCATCATTGATTTATAGTAAATTTACTGAGGCCTGTTATGGGTGATAAAGAAGAAGATTCGTCAAACTTCAACATTAACTGAGATAAGATAAATATACAACCATATTACATCAAAAGTATAAAGTTAAATTAATAAATATGGCAAAAAAAGTTTATGGATGGGGGATTATCATCAATATATATAGCAAAATATAAAAACGAATTCAAACTTCAATTTTATCGTTTAAATTGAACTTTACTCTGTATTAATTTTACTTCAATTCCGTGCATCGCACGGGCCAAAAATCTAGTATAAAATAATTTCACTGTTGCACCTTTTGTGTAATTTGTAAATGACCCGGCTTATGAATACCCTATTAAAAACTTTTTTTTATTGCTATCTATATTACTCTTCTACCCTTCAAAATATCGAATTGGTTTGTGAACATCCTATTAACAACTTTTTTTAGGGGTAATATGCCTCACACCCCTCAAAACCAACTTAATTAGATATGAGTGGCAAACTCATATCTAATGGTGCAATTAGATATGAGTGGCAAACTCAAATGGAACATTTTAACTACATCTCTATTTCAAAATAATATACACATCCTTTGATTTTTATTTAACCCAAAAATACCCTTACAATACCTAATAAAAGTCACGTGTCTTTTTTTTCTCATTTCTTTCTCTCTCTTCCCCTTTCTCTCACGCCGCTCAACTCTCTCTCTCTCTCTCTCTCTCTCTCTCCCCCTCTCTCACTCTCTCCCCCTCCCCCTCTCCCTCTTTCTCTCTCCCCCTCTCCCCCCCCTCTCTCTCTCTCTCTCCCCTCATTTTTTCTTGTCAATTATAGCGGAATAGTATGGAAGCTATGACGGTGGTTATGGTAGGTGGAGACGGCAATGGTGGCGTCGGTTATGGTAGGCGGCGATGGCTATGGTGGCGACGACAGCTATGGCAGTGCTCGATGCAGGGGTTGCATCAGGCTCTATGATGCTGGACATGGATGGCAGGCTCGTTTTTGTTTGCAACCAATAAGGATGAGTCTTGAGGTGGATATGGGTATGGGGGAGGGAGAGGGGGAGTAGTGGCGATGGCGGTGGTGGCGGCGGATCGGATTTAGGGTTTGGTTGGGAAAATTTAAAAATTTTCGATTTAGATGTCTACAGATGTCTATGGGTGTCTATGGTGTATGGTCGCTAGGTTCAAAGGAGAAGTTAGGGTTTCAAGATGCCTGTGGGTGACTACAGATAACTACGGTTCCTACGGGTTTCTTTAGATGTCTACGACCGAAAAAAATTTAAAAAAAATCATAATTTTCAATTTATGTAGAAAAGAAGGAAAGAAAAAATAGATTTTTATATAATAAAAAAATACGAAAAATGAAGAAAAAAAAAGTGTTCCACGTAAAAATGAAAAAAAAAATGCTAAATGCAAACTTAAAAATGTTAAATAATATCATAGTTTATTATAATATATTTACAATCTGCTGTAATTTTGAATTTGTGAGTAGATGTACATTTTTAGAACGAATTTAATAAATGATATGAAACAAATTTTAATTAGACTTGTCTAATAAAATTTGTCACTACTAAGACCCTTTTTTTATTGCTATCTATATTACTCTTCTACCCTTCAAAATATCGAATTCCAGCCCTTCAAGTTGAGTTCCCATCAAATCTCTCGAATTATGTACGGCAGGCACAGCATAATTGCATTCTCACTTCTGCAAATGGCCATTTTGTCCTTTGAAATAACTCTCCCCTTTCCCGCCACAAATTGAAATCTCTCTCTCTCTCTAAATATGTACTCCATCATCGCCGCTCCGCCACAAGAGCCACCGCCGGAGACCTGCAGTCAAGGCCACCGCTCCACCCTCATACTCCCAACGGCGGAAGGCGGCTCAATCTGCCTCCTCTGCCTCTCCAATCTACTCTCCAACCCCAAATCCCCCACCGTACACGTGTCCTACGCCCTTTCCCAGCTTTCTCAAGCCCTATCTCAGCCCCAATTCCTCCACTCTCTTCTCACCTTCCACCCTCACTTCCTCATTCCCCCACTCGTTTCTCTCTTATCGAACTTCGACGATGAGCCCATTGCCAAACAGACCATCGATTTGATCCAGACGTTATGCGATGGCTCGAGCAGTAATTGTAATCGAAACCAGGAAGTGCGCAATGAGTTCGTTGCTAGGGTTTCCGATTGTCTCTCCAGCGGTTCGTTGGCTTGGAGCCGTCGCCAGATGTACATGGTAATCCGTAATACCCGAGCCATTTCTTTTTTCAATCTTTCGTATTTCGATTTATGAGTTCCCGGGTTTTTCTCCATGGTAGTAGCTGCTTGTGTTTCAATTATTAGGAAGGTACAAAGTGGAATCGGAAGAAACAGTTAACTGTAAATTGAATGTTTTCAAATTAATTGTAATTAATGCTTGATGCCGTTGGAAATTGGGTTTGAACTATACAGTATCTGATTGTCGGGATCTTCGACAGTAATACTATTTAATTGTGGTGATGTGTGTTGGAGTTTTTGGTTTTTGATTGATTGATGCTGCAGGTAATTATAGAAGCTCAACTTATAACAACATATTTCTATGAATTATAAACTTATATGAATTGAAGTATTTTTTTTCATTATCCCCTGTGTGACTGCTTCAAAAAGTTTCGGGTTCTTAATACATTGAAGCCATGGCTAATGAATGTGTTTTTACATTATGAGAAATAACCTGTAAAACTATATTATAAGGATGTTGATATGAAGTCTTCAGCAAACAAATGGAGTAGTAGTAGTTTTTCGTTCATGATTTAAGGTTGCTTTTTTTAATTAATATATTATATGTTCAGGTAGAACCTCCACCAGTTGTGTATACTGATATCATTTGAAATCTGTCCCATGCTTTAAATTTGTTGGAATATTCTTGAGCAGCTATGCCATATGCAATTGTATTTTGCATATGGAAGTATAAATTGTACTTTGTTGGATGTTTGAATCTTTATGAACTTCTTCGTTCGAGAAAATAGTGAAACATTTCTGAGCAGGATCCACACAATGAAACCCTAGAAGCCTATTTCTGTATCATAAGACAAGCTGTGGTCCTGTGAGAATTTGCAACTGTTTCTGAGCTAGACCAATTTCGTAGTGGATGTTTTGGATTTAGTCACATGTATACTTTTGGATCGACAAAAAACTATGACTGCACTGAGTTGTTCGACATGTACTATATGGTGAAAAAAGATACTTTACTGCAGTATCGAGTATAAAGTCTACTTTTATCGTAGTTTCTATTATCTTTCAATTGACTGATAATCAAATTCTTCATGGTAACCTAAATTCATAAACAATGTATAAAGTCAACAATGGAACCTATTGTGATTAAGCTACTCAAGACGAACTGATTTGCTTGGGATAGTTGAATACCATGACCCTAGCTTATGAAACTTTCACACATAATAGCTATATAAGCTGGCATAATTGTTGCGGAAGACTATAAAATCCATACAATATATGCTTCATACTTGATTTTTATACGTTAAGCCTGCATATTCCTTTATGTGCACAAACATCGGTGTTTTATGTAACATGCATTTTGTGAAAGATCTTTATATAATGTTCATATAATGCATTTTGTGGAAGATCGTCATACTTGTTCCTTAGCAAAATCATTTTACATTTGAATGCAGCTTCACTGCTTTGGTGTTCTCTTGGATAATCAGGACTCTAATTTGTATACCTCCATTAAAAACAAAGATGCCCTCATATTCAACCTTGTCACAGGTCTTCAATTGTCAAAGTAAGTTGAACTACTACACATTTAACTTTTTCCCTTTTACCTTGGACAAATTGAGTTCCTGAAACATTTTTCTTCTTAATATAGTGACGAGATCCAAGGGGAGATTATGTTTGTTCTGTACAGATCATCCCTCCTCCATTATACATATATGGATGATAGTGGCACTGATTTCTTGCTTGCCTATTGCCCCAAGCTTTTGCACATATCACTCGACATCCTAATGAAAACTCAGAGTGATGACGTACGGCTTAACTGTGTAGGTTGACTTCTTCCCGTTGCTTGTTTTGCAACTTTTTTTTTACTAATTCTCTATTTCCCTTTCCAGTTGTAGGCATACTTGGTGCAGTTTTTTATATGGCATTTCAGTGGCTAATGGATATTTATATGGCAGCAATTGTTCCACCTGTTTTTCGGTGGTTTCATGCATAAGCTTAAAACTGGAATATATTTTTCTTCACTTAAATGATCTTTGATTATCATGGAACAACTGAAGCATCGTATTTCTCATGTAAAATAGCAGTATTAAGTATGATTACTACCTTTTGATGATATGCGTAAAGACTGCAGCGCTAAATCACAGCACAGGAGTATGATAATTAACATCCTGCAGTTATCTGCTTTTAATTTTTAAATGGTCTGTTGTTGAAACTAACTTTTACATGCAGTGAATAATAGCGGAATGAGGGTTGGTATATGATAATAGATTGTGTTTTGTAACCGCTTCTTTCTACTCTGCAGCATTTTTGACGGTGTTGGCTCAGAGAGGGCTCTTTCAGAGTGCATGCTCAAATATTTCATTTGAAGCTGATAACTTCATGCAAACAACAGAGCATGTGATAGATGGACCATCCTTAGAAGTTTTGTTTGCGGAAGCAGTTAAAGGACCCTTGCTTTCTTCAGATATACAAGTTCAGATTGCCACATTAGATTTAATCTTTAAGTATCTTTCATTAGAAGAGGTCTCGGGGAAAGAACGCCAAGCATTCATTGAAGAAAATGTAGCAGATTACATATTTGAAATACTGAGATTATCAGGTAAAATTCTTAAGGAAACACAATGTGCCAGATATTTTACAAAGTTATACAGATGTACTGAATTATCAACCAGTAATTCATGATAATATGTAATTGTCTTGATTGCAAGCTAAGTTTTATATGAATATATCAACAGTTCAGCACAATAAAATCATATATGTTTCTTGATTATAGACAAAGTTGTTATTATCTTAAATGAATCATAAAGTGATATTTGAATATGCTTGTTTATAATAGAGCCAATATACCCCATGGTCGTCAATCTTCCTCTATTTTTTTCATTTCACTCGACAAAATGATTGTTTGCAGTTTGACAAACTTTTCAATTTTCTTTGTCTTATACTGGTGATTTTATAGGAAGCAGAGATTCAATAGTCAACTCTGCCGTTCGGGTTCTTGATCTTTTATCAAATGATGAGCAAACCTTCAGACAGAGACTTGCCATTGGGTTCTCAACTCTGGTACCCATTCTGCGCTATGTAGCTGAAATTCCCTTTCAACCTGTACAATGTCATTTGCTGAAGCTCATTTTAAACTGTGTTACAAACTGTCCTGGAGTAGTATCCACCTCCAGTGGTGAAGAACTAAGTAGTATCCTATCAGGAATGTTTAAGAAACATATTGATGGTGATATAGGGATTCTGCCAGAGACATTTACTCTGTCATGCTCAATATTTGTAGCTATTATGAAATGTACATCCTCTCGTGGGAATCCAAGTTTGGCAGCATCAATTGAAGATGCATCAAGATCTGCAATCTCCACTTGTTTAAGCAATATCCATTTTAGCACCGATCAAATTTTGCACTGTCTTTACCTACTGAAGGAAGCATATGCATATGATCAAGAAAGTAATTTCCCTGTTTCTTCCAAGGTGGGACTACGTTTTTGTGTTGTAGACATACTTAAATCGAAGATTTTACCTTGGTTCGTGACAACGATCCATGATATGGAAGAAGAAGATGTTGTCTTGGGAGTCATTGAAACTTTTCATTCGGTGCTGCATGGTTCTATCGTTGAGGGCAAGAATTTGGCAGAGTCTCTGTGTTCATCTTCATGGTTTAGTTCATTGTTTGGATGCTTGGGTTTGTTTCCAACAGAAAAGATGAAATGGAGGGTTTATATGATCTTCAGTTCAATTATAGATGTACTTCTAGGGAGTGACTCTGGACAACCTATCAGGGATTCCACTTTCCGTTTGCCATCCGACCCTACAGATTTGCTATTTCTTCTTGGTCAGAAGAGTTCACATAATCCAGAGTTGTTTGATTGTCAATCTGCAGTTCTTCTGATACTGTATGCTAGCTCTTTGTATACTGACAGGTAATAACCAGCTCTTCTTTGCATTCTACTCCCACCTCTGCCTCTGTTGACAATAAATAAATAACAATTTTTATTTTATTTTATTTTTGTTTTAATTAGGATTGCAGATGACAAGTTGGTACTATCTTCTCTGGAGCAATTTATTTTACTCAACAGCAATAATCTCCTTTGTGGAGCCTCTGCCTCAGTGACCGTAGAAATTCTAGTAAATCTTTATGGATTTTACCGAGGATCTGCCAAGATGAGCTACCAATTACCTTACAGCCCAGAAGCTGAAAGAATCCTCTTTCAGCTATTGGCCGAAAAGGAGTGGGATTCTCTTTCTACAAAGATCCACTTGACGTCACTCGGATGGTTGTTTCAACAAGAAAAACTCTGCAAGTCGTTAGCTGATCAAATATTGAAGTTCTGTAGAACCAACCCCTTAATTGCTAATGATGTAGTTCTTGATCACGAAATTAGCCACAAAGTTGATTTGCGTGTGCTGGCTGAGTTGATAGCATCTGAAAACAACTTTGGAGCAATGATTTTAGTTTGCTTATTGGGAGATCTTGTAGAGAATGGCTGTCAAGAGTATGACATGATTTCAGTACTAAAAGCATGTACGAAAATAATTGAAATTGCTCCAGCTGCTTCAGATCAGTTCTGCATGCATGGGATAGATGTTGTGCTCCAAAACATTTATAACTACTCGACGTACTCTTTCCCAGAATTATTCATGGCATCATCTCAACTTGCTTTAGTTATTCTGAAATCAGCACGTTCTGAATCAATGTCTACTAACGAAGCTTGGACAGGGATTACGATGAAGGTAAATCTTTTGTTTTTTTCTTCCGCGTAAATCAAGAAAACTAACCTGGCATTTCATCTATTTTGTAGTTAATGGATTACCTGATCCCCACTGTGGATTCAGATGGATGGACAGAAGAAGTTCTCACAATAATTGGCATTCTTTCTCTGATTTTGCACCACTCAACAAACGAAGCACTCATAGAAGCTTCAAAAATCATAGTTTTGAATGTTCCTTTGGTGTCAACAATTAATACCGCAATTTTTGAAGCCTGTTCGAAGGGACACGCTCTTTTTGACCATGACGAGGGAACAAGAACTGGTGAAGTTCTTATATTTGTGCTTTTGCTCCTCTTCTTCTCTATGAGAAGGTATGCAAATCGGAGAAATATATTATCCTTTTTTTTTGGGTATTATTCTACACTGACTTCATTCGCATGGCAGCTTGCTAACTATTCTACCAGGTATTATCGATTTCCAAACTTTGCTTGACGAGGGTAATGAAAGGCAGCCATTATCCTACGTCAGCATCCGATGCCACGACTTGTGCAAGTTGATGCATTTTGGATCTGCTCCAGTAAAACTAATAGCTTCATTTTGTCTTGTGCAACTATTCACCGGAATATCAGAATCCACAAGTACAGAACCAGTCAATTTTAAATTCAGACAAGGGTACCTATTGTCGATATCATCTGTACTAGAAGGCCTGATATTTTTCGGCGACGTAAGAGTTGCGCTGAACTGTTCACGATGTTTATCGACCCTAATGACATGGAAACAACTGAAAATTGAATCGATGGACGTTTGGTGTAGGTTGATAGTAGAGGAGCTAGTGATGTCATTGTCGACACCAAGTGTGACATCAAAATCTTTCATGATTCATCACAAACCCGCTGCTAATATTGCATCTGCACTGCTAAAACTGGGCAAAGCTCCTTCATGGATGAATAGTGTGTTCGATGATTCTTCTGTACGTAGTATCATTCATAACATGTCTGCGAGCAATTTGAGCACTGAGTTAGTGGCTTTATTTCGAGAGCTTCTCGTTTCTGGTCATCTCAACTCTGCACATATTGCTGATCTGAATAGAGTATTCCAGGTGAATACTACTGTCTTCAATTAGCTTACCTAACTATATTTTAACTAAGCACAGAGAAAAAAGAAACAAGAAATTGAGGATTCGATTATGTTCTGATAGATTATGTCTTAATTTTCAGTTTATTCGAACATTTTTAAATATTTATTGATGATAAGGATTTGATCTGACGTTTTATGAGATTTCTTAGGCATGCAGGAGATATATTTACGCGGATGAAATCGACGATAGCAGCATAGAGGATAATAGAGAGAAGATTGCAGTTAACGTAGGTTTTGTAGGGAAAGTGCGTGCCTTTCTCGTGGGACTTGTGCCTGACATATGGAGGTCTCAGAGCAGGAAGAAAGAAATACTAGAAGAAATAGAATTATTCACCAAATGCTTGATGGAAGAGGATTAAGCATATATATATTTTCTTCAAACACACCCCATAACAATGCAGTAAAAAGATAGCTGGGCTTTGGCCATGTACATACATAGTTTATCTGTCATGGCACTATCAACTTGCATTCCAAGGTAGAAAGTTAGTTATATATTATTTTAACTATAGTGTATAAAGTGATATATAAGTGTACATTTGATATGTAGTGATGGTATTTTGAGGATAAAATGTGTGATTATCTTATGCTTGATGTTTGTGATTATAAAATACTCATGTTTTGTCATCTATTGTTTGAGAATAAAGTTTATATCGTAAATAATACGGAAAAGTGGGTCTTCATATCTTAACACATGAGAAGTTGTCACTTCCGTGATTCACTATAGATTTTCAACTTCCCACTATCCCATTATCCCCAAACTTTGTAATTGTTGTAACTCTTTTGTAATTTTCGGCGAATTGAACCTATATAAATGAGAATCTCCCCTCCCCTAAATACCCACAATTATCTCTCTACAATTGTCCTTCTTATTGTTCTTTTAATTTGTGTTCTCTCCTTCACTTTATCTATTATTGTTATTTATGTTCTTATGTATTTCCACAAGGGGGCAACTATTTTAAATACCAACTTTTGCTTACTTGAATACTACCAAGTTTAAAACCAAAATTGAGTACATATTTATCAGTTTTTTCTTACTTTAATACCAAAATAAAAAGAAAAGTACAAAAACACCCTTTCATACAAAATATCAATTATATCAAATTTTTTTAGAAATTACCTATTCAAAAACCAAATAAAAAAAAAGAAAAAAAACCCATTGTTGTAAAAAAAAAAAAAAACCTCCACCATTTCTTCTCCTCTCCAACCCTCACCGCCGCCGCCGCCGCCGCCGCCGCCGAACGCCACCGTACGTGCTCGTAACTGCCGCGACAACCCAATTAAACCCTATCTTTTTCATCTTCTTAAATCCTCCAAAACATCTCCAAATTCAAAAAATCAAAACCTCACAAAACTTATAAAATGGAGTTATAAGACAATAATATGGTAGTATATGTGGAAAGAGAAGCCATTAAGGTAAGTATCGATGTCTTTTTTGAGCTTCGAAGTCGATTTTGAAGTTTTTTTTTTTTTACACGTTGGTGTCGAAAATTGACCAAAAAATCGACCTGTATGTGTCGAAAATTGCCGGCGGGTTTCAAAAAAAAAAACTTCAAAATCGACTTCGAAGCTCAAAAAAGACATCGATACTTACCTTAATGTGTTCTCCTTTCATATATACTACCATATTATTGTCTTATAACTCAATTTTATACGTTTTGTGAGGTTTTAATTTCTTTAGTTTTGAGATTTTTTAGAAGGGTTTGTTGTGAGGAAGATTTTTTAGAAGGGTTTTTGGGGAGGGAGAAGAAGGAGGTGGAGGAGGTGAGGGGTTAGTGAGTAAGGAGGGAAATGGTTTTTTTGAGTTTTTGATTATTTGGTATTTAAGAAAGAAAATAGTATTTGTAATATTTTTTTGGTTTTAATTTCATTAAGGGTATTAAAGTAATTTATAATTAATTATTTATTTTTTCTTTTTTTGGTATTCAAGTAAGCAAAAATTGGGATTTGAAATAGTGATCCCCTTTCCACAATCATCAAACCAAAGAGCTAGATTAAATAGGTCATTTTACAATATGATATCAGCACGAAGTGCTCGCAGTGATTGTGGAAAGACAGTCGTCGATCATGGGACGAGGATACCCGAATAATTTGAAATTTAGGTGATCGTGGAAAACCAACAATTTGTGGCACGTGGATGCTTGAAGAACTTGTGATTCGGGTCCGTTCGTGAAATAGTGATCTTGTCCGAAGAAAGCAATATATGCTTCGTAATATCTGGATTTAAGTGTTTCAATTAAGCCTTAATCCCTCGCAATTTTGATTACGTAAGAATGCATGCTAGATAAATTTTGATATAGCATGAAATGTATGACGGCATATATTTTATATTTTGAGTCGCATGTCATGCTCTATGATTATATATATATCTAATTTCGACTTGAATTAGTTAAAGTTTGGTAGCATGTGCGGTATAAATGAGATGTAAATATGCTGAGTAAGCTTTACAACATAGTATGTATGCGTTGCTACTACATAATAACATGTGAAGTATTTCATGACTTAATTTGTTATGAATGTATCTTAATGAAAGTGAAGCTTGACTATGTTCATTAATGTACATCAGTGACTTAATATTTTATAAGGGCAATTCGTTGCACCAAAAGGCGAAATCCCTCGCCCCCAGGGCCCTCATCCCTTGGCCCGACAAGGATTGATAGAGGAATGTAAATCATGGTAACTCAACGGCCCGTTAAGGTAGCGGACCCGGGCCTGGTGCCCACAAGGAACCAACCCTCATTGGAGTTGAAATTCCCACACTGCAATTCGTATTTATGTTGTACAATGTTCATTGGTTTTGTGGTATTGATTTGGTGGCCTATTTCATTAATGAAACATTAGTATGATTTCACAAGAGACGTTTCATATTTTACCTTTATATGTCGTATATATAGTGTGGTTAAATGCTAGTGAGTAATGAATAAACATGTACGGGATGAAACGAATCTTATGACGGTTCCATTTTATGTGACTGGAGCTAATTCCATGAATTTAGTATTGTGGATCGATTTAGTTAATCAGTGATTAACTATATCTTGGATATGTGAGATTATACATGTTATTTATGGTTTATATTATTGAGCATGCTATGCTATGTCTTCGATATTTTGGCAATGTATATGTTTTAATTGTATAAAGATTTTGGTATGTCTCTAATGGAGAATTTTATTTAACTAGAAAAGTGCACATGCGTTGCACGTGTCGTAAATTGTATAATGTTGTTGCTTGTTCATAGTAATTGATAATTAAGATAAAAGAGAGTAAAGAACCATCCTTATATTTAAGAAAATAAAAGTAAATATAACCCGACAACTACAATTGAAGTGATACATACAAAAACTCGAATGAAAAATGAAATCACCTATTGCAGATTTCATGTGAACACATTCACTTTTCCACATTTGGAGAACGCTCGTTTGAAGTCCAAATGGCTAAATTCATATCCAAAATAAATTTATTCCTATCCAAAGTGTGTGTCAGGCTTTGAAATGCATAACATAAATAAGCATGTGGTCTGAAATTCCACTAGGAAACCACAATATAGATCAATTAGTCCGGATCATATGATGCAGAATAATGTCGTTGAGAATAAATGATCGGGCGAACATAATCTTCAATTTTAGCACTCCATGACTAATAACCAGCAAATTGAAGTAAAAAATTGTATTTAAATCTTATATTCTAATAAATTAACACATTAAAGCATTAATATTGATACAATAAAATGCTATCTTTGTACTATACAAATTGAAAATAACATAATAAAATATAATTATTATTATAAATTCGAAAATTGTGTCATAAATATTGATTTTTCTCAATATGTAATCCATCAAATCCAATTATAAATATTGCCACAATATATATCAGAGTGATAATTCATCATTTTGGTTATACCACAAGTCCAAATAATATGTTTCAAAAATTGAAAAATCATAAAAATAATTTAAAATCATATATTCAAACTTCAAATTTGATAAAACGAATTATACAACTCCCCCTAACCCCATCACTACCCCCCCCCCCCCC